TTCAAACAACAGTTCATTTGGAATAATTTGCTGTAGATTTTGAAGTCAATAGTGAACCAGCCTCTGGGAAAAGACGTGAAGCAAATTCAGCATCATTTATATCACCCAGATCACCGCTTCCCAGGGCTGCTCTGGGGTCCCGCTTGCAAACTCATTAATGGCACATAATTATAATCATTATAGGATTCTCTCCCGGTGACGCCTGGCCCTTATCAGTCAGGACACTTATTGTACTGTTTCTGTACACGCCTGGCCCTTATCAGTCAGGACACTTATTGTACTGTTCCTGTGCCCTCAGTAGCTTTATGTATCTATTGTTTACAATTACCAGCCCTTTAATAGATGTTTGTCAAGGAGACGGTACTCATTTGGGTGAATATATGTTCTGAACCTTAATGAGTGAGTCTGGATACAGCACTTGTTGAGGCTATTCTTGGTTCTTGCCCACTTTGAAGACTATCCCTTTCAAAGTCCGCAGCTCTATAAACCTGTATCACTTAGGTATAAGATGCATGAAATTTTAAATTCGAGAGAATAAAGTTTAAAATAAAAATGAGATGGTTTTGACATCAGACTAGTGTTGATTCGAGCTGAGAAAGAAGCATTTCCTTGCAGTGTTCCTGATGGGAGAAACTCAAGAAGACACTTCAGCGTTACATTCCCAAATCGTTAACATACGTTCACTCCTAGGGCAGAAGTCGTCCCTCTCCTTTGTTCTCTGGAAAAGCAAAGGCCTCCAAATATAGTCACAATGATGTTAAACCCAGAGCAGATTACAGTAGCTTAAAAAGTCTACTATATCAAAATTAGTGAAGCACATACAGTAGTTCTTATTATACTACGATATACAGCCCCAAATGATAATTTTTAAATACTGGCAAAGAAAGGCTTTCTTACGATAGTCTGTGGTTGTGCTGTTAGCCTGGCAGGACCTGGAATAACCTAAAGGTAAGCCTCCAGGCATATCTACAAGGGATTATCTAAGTTAGGTCAGCCTATGGGCATATGTCTTAATTGCTGTGAAGAGACACCATGGCCACAGCAACTCTTATAAAGGAAAACATTTAAGTGGGGCTGGCTTATAGTTCAGAGATTTAGTCCATAGTTGTCATGGCAGGAAGCATGACAGCATCCAGGCAGACATGGGGCTGGAGTGGTAGCTGAGAGTTCTACATCACAATCAGTAGGCAGCAAGCAGGAAGAGTCACTAGGCCTGGCTTGAACATCTGATACCTCAAAGCCCGTAGTGACACACTTTCTCTAACAAGGCCATGCCTTTTTCTCTTAGATTTATTTATTTCATTTATATGAGTACACTGTAGATGTCTTCAGACACTTCAGAAGAGGGCACTGGATCTCATTACAGATGGTTGGGGGGCACTATTGGTTGCTGGGAATTGAGCACAGGACCTCTGCAAGAATAGTCAGTGCTCTTAACTGCTGAGCCATCTCACCAGCCCATGGCCACACCTCTTAATAGTGCCACTCCCTATGAACCTATGGAGGCCATTTTCATTTAAAACACTACAGCACACCTGTGGTGTTTATCCTGTGTAGGAGGAGCTAAGGTGGGAGAAGTAAGGAGAGGAAGAGGAGAGAAGGAAGAAGGGAGAGGGGGAGACTAGAGAGAGGGGAACATGGAAGCAGATGTGTATGTGTGCGTGTCTCTAGCAGTCAAAGGTAGTTGGCATATCTAGGCTGGGTATTGGGTTACACCTCTGATTGTGTGGTCATCTTGTTATCGAGCATTATCAAACATATAAAGCTACTGGATAATCTAAGCATTAGCATCTCATTTGTACCGAGCCCGTGTGGATGGTCTGGGCTAAGCCCAGCCTTGTGGAGACAGCGTGGAAGATTGGCAGAGCCATCTCCCATGCTGGTGTCTCGTGGCAGAGCCGGTTCTCTGACCGCCTGAGTGGACGACCCGAGCTGAGCAGCTACCGCGCAGCTCCTGGCCGCAGGCCTAGGCTAGTTGGGAACATGGTGGCTGATTAAGAAAAACCAGATTGAATGTGGATGATTTAAATATCTCTCTCAACAATCCTGATTCTATTAATAAAGGTGGGAAGACCCCTGTGTTAGTTTGCTTTCTATTGTTGTGATAAATATCCTGACCAGAGCACTACAGAGAGAAAAGGGCTTATTTCATCTTATTGTTTACAGTCTATGGTTGTGATGGTTTGTATATGCTTGGTCCAGGGACTGGTACTATTAGGAGACGTGGCCTTGTTGGAGTAGGTGTGGCCTTCTGAAAAGATGTGTGTCATTGTGGGGGTGGGCTTTGAGACACTCCTCCTACCCACATGGAAGCCAATCTTCTAGTGGCCTTCAGATGAAGATGTAGAACTCTCAGCTCTACCTGCACCATGCCTGCCTGGTTGCAACTGTGGTGGTTTGAATATGCTTGGCCCAGAGAGTGGCACTATTTGGAGGTGTGGCCTTGTTGGAGTAGGTGTGTCCCTGTGGGTGTGTGCTTTAAGACCCCTGTCCTAGCTGCCTGGAAGTCAGTCTTCTCCTAGCATCCTTCGGATGAAGATGTAGAACTCTCAATTCTCCAGCGCCATGCCTGCCTAGACACTGCCATGCTCCCACCTTGATGATAATGGACTGAACCTCTGAACCTGTAAGCCAGCTCCAATTACATGTTGTCCTTGTAAGAGTTGCCTTGGTCATGGTGTCTCTTCACAGCAGTAAAACACTAACTAAGACAATGATGATAGGAAATCAGGGCAGGAACCTGGAGACAGGAACTAAAGCAGAACCACAAAGAAATACTACTTATTTGCTTACTCCCCACGGCTTTCTCAGCCCACCTGCCCAGGGGTGGCATGGCCAACAGAATGCTGGGCCTTCTCATATCAATCATTCATCAAAAAAAAAAAATGCCCCACAGACTTGCTTATGGGCCAATCTGATGGAGGCAATTCCTCAATCAAGGTTCTCTCTTTCCAGATGATTCTAGCTCACGTCACGTGAACAGAAATACTAACCAGGCACCCTGCTCCTGTGGCGTTCCCACTCCCTGGCTGGGATCCTGAAGTGGAAAGAGAGAGCTGAGAGCATGCACTCACTGCTCTCTGCTCCTGCGCATGGATATCTTGTGAGCAGCTGCTTCAAGCTCCTGTCATATTGACCTCACTGCTAGGATGATCTTGTCCTTGAACAGTGGACTGAAATAAGCCTCTTCTCCCTTAACTTGCTTTGATTGGAGTTTTGTTTATGCTGTTTGTTTGTTTGTTTGTTTGTTTTTGTCAGAGAAACAAGAAAAGAAGCTGTCATGTTTATAAGGTGCACTTCACTTTAACCAATTAAAAATGAACTGAGGCAATACTGGATACATTTACAGCATTTGCCAACTGCTGTCTCTCTCTATAGTCCCAGAACATTTCTATTGCTTCACCGGGATATGTGAGCCAGTGAGGCCATTGTGCTCCATGACCGCTCTTCTCAGCCCTTGCCTAGCTCTTGTTGTTTTTTTTTTTTTTTTTTGGAACCTGATAAGAAGAATCATACAGTGTGTGGCCATTGTCTCTATCTTCTTTCACCTAATGATCTGGAGGTTTACCTACCTTTTGGCAGCCGTTGCCTTCCTCTTATAGCTGAACAATATTCCACTGTGTGTACTGTAATAGGCCTGTTGGGTCTTCACTCTGTGTCTATGGGAATAGAGCTCTAAATCCTGGGGTACTGCCCTGACTCATTTTAGTGATACAAGTATTCTAGAACAGTTTGAGGACTATTAGCCGTAATTTTGGGGTAGAGCGATTACAGATGACTTAATTTATAATATTTAGAACATTAGGCTTAATCAGGCCACATTCCTTTTCTTTGTCTGTAATGTGAAGAAAATAAGCTTTATCTAATTGGATTTTTAAGGGAAACACTGTAACATACTTAGAAATATGTGGGTGGCACCTGTTCAGTACTGAATTCATGATTTTATTTATTTATTTATTTAGTGTGTGTGTGTGTGTGTGTGTGTGTGTGTGTGTGTTTGCTTGAAAGCCAGAAAAGTGCCCTGGATTTCCTGGAGGTGGAGTTACAGGTAAGTCATGTAGATGTACAGGTGAGTCATGTAACTTGGGTACTGGGAGTAGAACTGTGGTCCTCTGCAAGAGCAACAAGTGCCCTAAAGGGATACACTATCTCTCCAGCGCTTTCATGGTATTTAAAGCACTTTCCTTTTAACTGATCACTTGGTGGTGCCTCCCCCCCCCCCCCCAGTGCATTTTCATGGGGCACACTTAAGTAAGGTGCATATTCTTATTTGCTAATGGTCATTACAGCTGGTGCTAGTCAAAGGATATTATATTTTGTAGATCTCACTTTAAGTAGGTATATCTTTACACAGTACGTCTCCTTCCAAGTTTCAATTCCAACAATCAAGGAACTTATTCTCCTACCTTCTGCCAAAGCTGTTTTAGTCTTTGTTTCACCTTGGATTTGTGTTGCAAATACAACTAGCCAGGTTCCATCTTAGGCGGCATAGGGACCGATGAAAGACACTGATTTCTTATACACAACCAGGAAAATTTGTTATGCTCAGGTCTTACTAAATATACCAAACCTTCCCCCAGAATCTTTTCTTTTTAGATAAACCTCATGTGTTATTTTTTTCATCGAAAACATAAACTTTGCCAAATGCGCACTTCTTGATGTATCAGAATTGAGGCCAGGAGTTCTCTGGGCTGTGGCGCCTGGGGCCCTCGGGTTTGAGAGGCGAGGGCAAGAGCATCGAGCTGGGGGCAGTGTTGTTAGGGGTTCGAGTCCCACCACCTCACTGCGCCCTAGATTCCGCAGGTGTCCCGCGGGGAGGGGGCGGAGCATCTTGCAGGGCGTGTCTCCGGGCTCCGCCCCTCCCGCGTCGGCGGCTGCGGCGCCTCCCCCGCCCGCGCGCCCTTGCTCCGCGTCCGGCCCGCCTCGCCCCCGCGCGGCCTCTCCGCTTGCTCTCCCGCTTTGCTCCGGCCTCTCCGAGTCTGCAGCGGGGCTCCGGGAAGATGGCGGCGCGGGGAGGCGGCGCGGGGGGCGCGGGCTCGGGATCCGGACCCTCTGCTGGGACGGCGGGGGAGGCCGCGGAGACCGCGCTGCGCCCGGGGGAGGTGGCTGCGCTGCACCCCCAGGAGGTGGCTGCACGGCTGCAACGGATGCGACGGGAGCTGAGCAACCGGCGGAAAATCCTGGTGAAAAACCTGCCCCAGGACAGCAGCTCTCAGGTATGGGCACCGGGCCGGGGTGACCTGGCCGGGCTTGGGGACAACGCAACCCAGTAGAGTCTGGGCTGGTCCTAGGAGAGGAGGAAGGTATGCGCGCCGAGCCCAGAGCCCTTTGCCTGGACGAAGCCCTTCTGCGGCCAGTGAAAGCAGCGTGTTGGGAAACTGAGGCTGGGCAAGACAGAGCGGCTCGTGCAAGGTCAGGGGGTTCTAGGGTTGCTGCCACGTCTGGTCTGTACTTTGTGTTCCCTTCAGCCCAAGGCGGTGTTGTAGGTGAAGGCGCGTGGTGGGGAGCTGAGGAGCTCAGATTTAGGGGACTGGCTTCCCAAGCCCCTAGAGAAGGGAAGGGGTCCCGCGTAGGGTGTTGGGGACTGGATTGCCACGGGGACGGGGTCACGGGAAAGCTGGGAGAGTTCTTCTGCAGAAGCACTTGACCAAGTTTGTATGAAACAACTTTGCTCCGCTTGCTAAGGCCGCAGAGAGCAGAGGCTGATACTGTGCCCAGCAGAGTCTTGCAGCCTTCTGCCAAACCAAGTATGGCAGGATTTGTTTCTCAGTGCTTGCTCGGAGTTTAAAGTTAAGCAGCTCGCTGTCTTTAATCCAGATTAACTGTTGCTCTTGGATTAGAAAGTCTGAGTCGGTTTAACTTTTTTTTTTCTTGATTGCAAAAGTTAAAATCTTATTGTAGGAGCGCTAGAGAATTTTCCTGGGATTCATATTCATTCATTCTCATCCATAGTCCTCTTTCCTATTTTTCTCTCTCTGTCTTTCCTTCATTTCCTCTCTTTTCTTTCTTTGAGACAGCATGTTAGGTATTCCCAGGCAGGCCCTGAATTCCTGATCTCCCTTTCTCCACCTACCATGTGTTGGGATTTCAGATGTGTACCACTGTCTCGGCAAAACAGTCAGTCTCTCTCTCTCTCTCTCTCTCTCTCTCTCTCTCTCTCTCTCTCTCTCTCTGTATTACACGCAACACTCTACCAGCTGAACTATAGCCCCCCATGTTGTCCTTTTCCCTTTTCTTGTGCACAAGGATGCACATGCGTTTGTTTTTGTTTTTTTATCAAAAACATGAAACAGTGTAGCATTCTTTAGGTTTCCTACAGGTGCGGATGCTTGTACATTTTACATGTAGATATTTGAATATGTAACTGAGTGTGATGATCTGCCCTGATAGGTAGGACCACAAAAGGAACTTCATAAACCCACCCTCTTCGGCGGATTTATAAAATTCCTTTTGTGAGTTATACAGAGTTGCAAGAGGACTGACAAGTGACAGTTGCGTGTTCTCTGTGACTTACAGAATATGACAATGCCTGCCTCATCACCGTTGGTAGACTTTATGTAGATACCATAAACGTGAGCCTACAACCTCATATTTAGGTGGTGGCATCTCATCATTCAAGATGTGGCACAGTGCCTCTGTCAGGTGGTGGTTTTGTGTTGCCACCTGAAGGGTTCTCTACCTTGGAAAAACAGCCTTCCTGCTCAGGAATGGCGAAGGTCTCCATGGAGCTCAGAGAGAGGGGGCTTGGAAGAAGCAGATGGCATTGCTACAAAACAAAGAAGTATCGACTCTGTGACAGACAATCTAGAAGAAGATGGAGAAGTGTCTGGATTTCCTCTGCAGAATGTCAGCTATTTCTGTTGTAACATTTCCCTGCATGAAGTCTAAAAACACTTAATGCAAATTCAAGGCAGTTCTGTATGTTCTTGCTTTGCTGTTATCTTTTGCATTTCTGTTCCCAAAAGAGATGGAAAAGAAACCCAAGGGTCTTAGGAACTATTTCAATCCTACCTCATCTATATGCTGACAGAAGGCTTTCAGAGACTTACATCTGTGATTGTTTGGGGGTAGGGACATATTTTTTTCCTCTGTTTTAAACTTACAATTACTCTAAATCTCAGGATTTTTCTGTAAAAGTAGCTAGTTTATTTGCATAAACTAGCAAATAAAATTGGTTTAAGCTAAGATGTCTCAGTGAAGTCATTTAAATTTTGCACCAAGCTCAATTCTTATCCCTCCTCCCCCTTTTAAAAAAAGAAAAGAACTGGAGAGATTCACACAAAAGTTAGAACGGAGCTGCCAATCAATGGTTAAGCAAAGGTCTCGGAGCTGCCAGTCAGTGGTTAAGCAAAGGTCTCCTGACTAATCCAGCCGTTGATCGTTTTCTCTAGTAATGGATAGAATAAAATGGTTTGATAGTTCTGATACACAGTTTTGAAGTCTAAACAGATCAGTCTTAGATTCCACGTGAAGTATGTTGGAACATGTTCTTTGTCCCTCCCACAAGTCCCCTCGTCCTCAGTACTTGTATTAGTTTTGCTGGTTTTCTGTTCTTGTTCATAACTAAAAAAAAGGCAGTGTTACATAAGTAAGCAAATTAGGTGTAAGTATGTTAACTTCTAAAAGATAACAAAAAGGAAGTCCAATAGATTATTTTTGTGTAATAATGGATGTTTTTACTTGTCTAGTAAAATTCATTTTCTATGTTGTATTTTTATGAACATGTTCAGTTATGACCTCTTTTTTCTTTTGGGTTGTGTCTTTAACTTCCCTTCACAATGTCTGATTTTTCCTTAATGACTATATTTTGATTTCAACTTAGTAATCAAAGTTTAATTTTATTTTATATCTTTTCATCAGGAAGGATTATATTATATTGCCTGAACTGAAACTGCATACTTAACTGTTATAAAAATATTGTATTTAATTATTAATCAGATACTTGAAATACTCTGTTTCTAGATGAGTTTGTGTATTCACTCATTTATTCTAAAAGATCACATTAAGGGCTGTCCTCGTTGGTGTTCTGTTACTGTGATAAAAACCACAACCAAAAGAAAAAAACAACCAAACAAACTAGGGTTTATTTCAGTTTATAGTTTATTGTCCATTATCAAAGGAAGCCAGCCAGGACGGGAATGTAAGGCAGGAACCTGGAGGCAGGAACTGGAGCAGAGGCCACAGGAACACTGATTCTTGGCTTGTTCCCTATGGCTTGTTCAGCCTGCTTTCTTCTATAACTCAGGACCACCTGCCCAGCGGTGGCATTACTCGCAGTGATCTGGGCTTTCCCATATCAATCCTTCATCAAGACTTGCCCACAGGCCAACGGAGGCAGTTCCTCAGTCGATGCTCCCTCCTCCTAGATGAACCTAGCTTGTGTCAGGTTGACAAAAAACTAATCAGCGTAATGACTAGTTCTCAAATTGTCAAGTGCAGAGAAGCCACTGTTTGGTACTTGGTTAATAGTAACCTGATAATTTGTTCTTAACATTTCAAAAACATGGATATTTTATTTTTAAAAAGTGTGTGTGCATATGTATGCATGTTCAGGTATGTGTGTGTGTCTGCTCACAGGTGAGTGCAAACATGTTCACATAAGTATGTGGAGGCCTGAGGATATCTTCAGGAGTGCATGTGATTGTACATGCATGGTCTCTCTCTGACACACTTTTGTTTTTTTTGTTTTTTGTTATTGTGGGTTTTTTTGTTGTTTTTGTTTTTGAGACAGGTTCTCTATGTAGCTTGGCTGTCCTGGAACTCATGATGTAGGTTGAGCTGGCCTTGAACAAACAAACCAGAGGTCTGCCTGCCTCTGCCTCCTGAGTACTGGGGTTAAAAGCTTGCACCAACACATTCAGCTCTAATTTTCAACTATATATATATATATATATATATATATATATATATATATATATATGTTTTTAGATTTAATTACTTTGTATTTTATGTGTATGGGAATTTTGCCTACATTTTTTTACACATGTCATGTGTATGCCTGATGCCCACAGAGATCTGAGGAGGGCATCAGGTTCACCTGGAACTGAAATTAGTTATGAATGACTATAAGTGTCTGGGTGGGTGCTGAAAACTGCACCTCATTCCTCTACAAGAGCAACAAGTGCTCTTACTCACTTAGCTTTCTTTCCAGCCCCTCCTCCACATCCAGCTCTTCTGAGGCAGAGTCTCTTATTGGTTGGGAGCTCACCCATTAGTTTGGGCTGACTGGCCAGCAAACCTCAGTGTTCTCCTGTCTCCGCCTCCCCAACAGTGGGATCGAAAGAATCTGTCTGACATTTTAGGACTGATAAAGCAAGCACCTTTCCGACTGAGCTAGTTCCCCAGCCTCTAGGGAATTTCTTCTTTTTCTTTTTTTTTCTAAGAATTATTTATTTTATGTATATGAGTACACTGTACCTGTCTTCAGACACACCAGAAGAGGGCATCAGATCCCATTACAGATGGTTGTGAGCCACCATGTGGTTGCTGGGTTGCTGGGAATTGAACTCAGGACCTCTGAAAGAGCAGTCAGTGCTCTTAACCACTGAGCCATTTCTCCAGTCCCAGGAATTTCTTCTTAAACATAGCTCTTTAAAATAAAATTTTAATTTCTTTCACATATTTGTGTAACATTTGCAATGACAGCCAATAGCTTCACAGTTCCTGTGATTTAAATATTTATAGAAAGTATTTTTAAAGTGAAATCTTTCGCAGTATATGCATGAAATACCTTACAGAAAGACAGACTGTAACATCTTGCTGGACCTCGTGGCACAGAGCTGTGGTACGAGCTCCTTGGGAGGCTGAAGCAGGGACATTGTAAGTATAAGACCGTCATGGGCTACAGAACGAGTTTCAGGTCCAGCCTGGGCAACTTAGATTCAATCTCACAATTAGAAGGTAAACACAGATAGAGTTGGGATTATACCTCAGTGGGAGTGTGCTTGCCTAACAAATGCCTGGGTTTGATCCCCAGCACTGGGGGAAATAAAAAATAAATAGTATACATAAGCACTCAGACATATATGCATATTAAAGTCTTTATGTTAATATTACTGTGCAGTCAGTCAGACCCTCTCTGTAACTTTCTGCCATCTTCTTGGCTCTTTTGTTTACCCAGTCCCAGCTTTGGATCAGGTCTCTTTACCTTTTGAAGAGCTTGTTATAACTTTTCAGTTTGTCACTCCCCATCTCTTATGTCTTAGCCTGTCTTTTA